TAGTACATGTATTTCACCTTGGAAATTCCAAAAAGCTTTTAAACTACTATGAACCATGTCTTTACTTTTTGGACATCCATTGATGTAATAATTTTTGTAAATTTTCATCAGAATTTGTTGCTTTAGCCAATTTATCCAAATAGGGTGTATTTACAGCAAGACTAGAAAATATTGCATTAACATGATATTTTAAATCTCACTCATAACTCATAATGGGGAATATAATTTTCTTTCAAAGCCCTTGACAACGTGGAATATACATTTCTTTGCCTGGTACATACACCACTTCCAAATCATAAGCTTGTAAATCTAGCATCATACGCTGTAGTCTAGTTGGAACTTCATGTAATGGTTTTTTAAATAAATAGACTAATGGTTTGTGATCTGTATGCACGATTACTTTCCTGCCATATACATACTGATGGAATTTATCACATCAAAATTGAATTGCAAAGAGTTCTTTTTCAATTTGAGCATAACGCTCCTGCGACGTAGTAAGTGTTCTTGAACTGAAGGCAATATGTTTATTATTTTGCATTAAAACTGCTCCTGATGCGGACTTTGAAGAATCTACAGACAAGACTAAAGGTAGCTTTTCATCATAATGTGACAAAACTGGCACATTGCAGATTGTTGTAACCAAAATTTTAAAAGCCTGATCACAGTTTTCATCCCATAGCCACTCAACATTATTCTTTAAAAAGTTTCTTAAAATTTCGGTTTTTCTGACATATTTTCTATAAATGGACCTAAAAAATTTACCATGCCTAAGAATCTTTGTAAATCATTTCTATTTTCCGGAACTGGCATTTCTTTTATGGCTTTGACTTTTTCATCATCAACTTTTACATTTCTTACATTTCTTTTCATTCAGCTTTAAATTGATTTCTCTTGCCCTTTCTAATACATTTGCTAGCCTTTTGTTATGATTTTTTTTCCGTTTCACCATAAACCAAGATATCATCGACAAATATTAGAAATCCATCCAAATCTCCTAAAAGATCTCTCATGACTCTATAGAACATTTCAGTTGAAGCATTTATGCCAAAAGGAAGACTCAAAAATTTATATCTACCAAAAGGTGTTTGAAAACTACATAAATCAGAGCTTTTCTCATCCAACTTGATACACCAAAAACCTGAACATGCATCTAAATGAGAAAAACAAGACGCACCCTTTAACTTTGACCTGATGTCATCTATATTTTGTAATTGATAATGTTCTCTCATTATGTATTTATTTAAATTTCTGGGATCAAGGCATACTCTCAAATCTCCTGACTTTTTAACTGTAACTACGATGGAATTAACCCAAGCTGTAGGCTTTGTAACTCTTTGTATCACCTGCATGCTTTCCATTCTTTCTAATTCTCTTTTTAAATCATTTTGCAATGCAAATGGAACTTTTCTTGGTGGATCAACACATGGAACAGTATCTTCTGACAATTTCAGCGAACATACAGGTGGAAGACATCCAAGACCCTTAAAAACATCATTATATTTATGAATAATTTGTTTAAAATTGTTTTCTTTTAATGAAAAGACTCTTTTTATAATACCAATTTTTGTACACGTTGGTAGCCCTAAGACTGTTGGGCACTCAATGTCTGTTATGACAAAAGGAAAAAACCTATGTCACATTGACCAATTACTGGAACACTTTTACCACTAAAACCTGACAATTGAACAAAGGATTTGCACAAGGTTCTTTTTAAATTCAAACTTTTAAATGTTTTTAAAGACATGACATTTATATCAGGACCTGTGTCAAGAATGCAATTTACTTTTTTCTTGTTGACATTAATCATTAATTGCCACGACACTTTAGAATATTACTTATTTTGGTTTAATGTTCCAATGAAAAATTGATTTGAGTTATCCTGTTCACTTTCTACTGAATTTGACTCTAATTGCCTGACATTTTTATTTTTAAAACAAAATTTAGCATAATGACCATACTTATTACAAATTCTGCACTTAGCTGACATCGCTGGACATTTAAATATGTGTTTCGGACCACATTTGTTACAACTGTTGTTGTCTCTATCTTGCTCATTTTGGTGGTACTGCTGCTGACGATATTGCTGTTGTCTCTGCTGATAACCAACGCTGCTGACTTTTCGGTTGTCTCTGTTGTTGCTTCTGCATAACCTCCTGCCTTGACGAGTAATACGCATGATATTTTAAGTTGTTGTTGTTGTTGAGTTCTCTTCTCTCATTATCGTTTCTGCATTTTGCTGAGCAATGATCACTGTTTTTGCAATTTCAACGGTTCTTTGTAACGGTGGATTTGTTATTGCAGAGGCGTTGACGAATGTGCGACATGCTGGAATTCATATTGGCAATGAAAACATCTCTAACCAACGATTCTCTTAATTCACCAAATTTACAATTTGTGCTTAGATTTTCTAGATCCGTAACAAAATCACTAATATTTTCACCAGACTTTTGCTTCCTCACACAAAATTTGTGTCTTATCATAGTTAGATTTTTTGTAGGCTCAAAATATGTATCAACTTTTAATTTCACTGCAGACATTGTAGCACTTTCCATGTCAAGACTAAATGAATTAAATATTTCCATACTGCGACTACTCATTGAATGCAGGAGAATAGCAAGTTTTCTTTTTTCCGACTCTTGTCTAGTCCTGTGGCCAATAAATATATTTCAAACTGTTGCCACAATTTTTTTCATTCTGCAGCACTTTCATTGTCCAAAAGTTTGCAATCGACTTGTTCTCGTTTTCCATTTTTAATTGTTTTTCAGTTTTCACTTAAATTTTTATTTTTCATTTAATTTGTTGGTCACGACTGATTTGTGCAGTTTGCTATATTAGATTTGTCTTTTGATCATGAATCACAATGAACATGATTTTCATAGAAAATTTGTTTGAGTTGTTTTTAGCTGAACCAACCCTACTTATCTGAACCAACCCTACTTTGACCATAAAATATTAATACGACTTATCGAATTTCTCAAATTTACAATTTCTGCAATTGTAAGTATTCTGATTCGAGGCTTAAATAAATTTTACCATTTCCTTATATCATGGATTTGTTTTTCAGTTTTTTGATGAAACAAGTTTTTTTGTGTTTCATCAAGTTTATTAAAATATTTGCTACATCTTGGGACATACATAGATATTTTCTTTTACTGTTTTTTTTTTATTTTCAATATACTTAATGGAAAACACAGCTTCAGTCATACCAAAACCTCAAGGCGTAACCACGCGAGCCAGTAGTAGGGCTGCGTTGGATGCAAATACTCAGGACGCGACACTGACAGGCACATTAGGTGTTCCACCTACCTTGGCCGAAGGCGAGGGACCACCGATTCAAACTAGTAGCACTATTACACGACCATCTTTTAGTCCACTAACGGTACGTGGTAACGATAGTAGTGATACTGGAGAAAGAGTAAGCAGCACCAGTGTTTTGGAGGTAGTTCAATCAGCTTTGGGAGCTACCCAAGAATCGATGATACAGGCTATGCGTAGTGAAATGCAGCAAGCAGTTGCTAATGCCGTTAGAGTTGCTTTATCACCTACATCTGTTCCTCAGTATAACTATATGTCACCTTCACCCAATATAAATTGGCAACGCGATTTACCTTCGTTAGGCAGGCATTACGATCAAGTCCGTAGGGGTGAACATTACGACCACAGTAATTATTATAGGCCACCTGCCGAAAACAGGGATTCTTATAGTAAACCGAAATACCTCTTCTTAAGTAAATGGGGATTTAAATTAGATGGTACACAAAAGATGCCTCAGGTCGAAGACTTTATCTTCAGAGTTGAACGACTTCAACGAAGTTATGGATGCCCAGATCAGAAGTTATTAGATGGTTTCCATCACTTGTTGGAAGGCCGTGCCAATCAATGGTACTGGGACCGAATTCAACTCTACCCTAATATAAAATTGAAGAGGTTGAAAGTAGACATTGTGAGGGAATTTCAGCGGTATCAGTCCAACATTGAGGTCTTGCGGCAAATTATGGATAGAAAGCAGGGACGGGATGAATCCGTTACCCAATATGTAGATGCTGTTACAAATTTGCGAACACAATTGAGAGAACCTCTTAAGGATGTTTAATTTTTAATCGATGTAGAACAGTTAAGAAACGAGTGTAGGAAAGCTGAGGAATTTTTAGAAAGGGAATCTTCTCAGAGGTTTAGAGTTAATACATCTCCACGTATGGTGCATGAAGTTTCTGGCTGTGATCTCGATGGCGTTACTAGAGATACTGATGAGTTGAAGATTAGGGCAAAGCAATCGGGAGTTCACCGAAGTGAATCGTGTTGTTGTTGGAACTTCGGTAACAGTGGTCACGTTTTCAAAGAATGTATCAGTTCACAACGTTCACTTTTTTGTTTTCGTTGTGGTTTTCCTGGTGTGACAGCACCTCAATGCAATAATTGTAATCGAAATAGTCGTCCAGTAAATCCGTTTAGTGCAGAGTCTCGTTCTACTCAAACAATCGATTGACTAGATTCTAAGAATAACGTAAATTATGTTGATCAAAAAATCGTTGAGCCATACATTTCATCCAAACTCTCCGTACACTCTGACAAAACAAAACCTGATTTGACATTGCCTTTCCATATCCGTAGGCAAATTATTTAAAGATTCGTGAACGTATTTTTAATTCGGAAATCTCCGTAAAGCCAGTTTTTGTTTCCAAAAGAATTTTGACGACTCGTGAACGATATCGTCGCAGGCGCTTAAGTAGACAGGCTATTTCTTCTGCTCAATTTTCTGATTTTAAATTTAATTTTTTTTCGAGAAGTTTTGGTAAATGGTGTTTCAGTATTAATTTTGTTCGACAGCGGAGCTACTGTTACATGTTTAGGGAAAAATTGTTTTTCTCTTGTTAACGACTTAAAGCTAGATGTTATTCCGGTATATATATGCAGGGTTGGTACTGCTGTACCAGTGTCAGAAAGTTTCTTGTTAAGGTAAAGTTAAAATTGAAGTCACTTACGATAATCAGACGAAAGTCATGGATGTTTATCTGATTCCTGATTTAGAGAATTGTATGTATTGTGGTATTGATTTTTGGAAGGAATTTAATGTTGCACCTAAAGTCATTAGCAGTCTTGAGATCAGTTCCAATAATGAAGATTCTGATGCATACGTTCTGTCTCCAGATCAGTTGGCTATGCTTGAAAAAGCTAACGAAAGTTTTCGGGACTTTGATAAGCATGGTCTCGGTAAGACAACTATTAAGGATCACGTTATTGATACCGGGGATGCTGTTCCTATCAAGCAACGTCATTACCCCGTGTCTCCGGTCGTTGAATCCTTAATTTACCAAGAACTCGATCGTATGATTAGTTTAGGGGTCATTGAACCAAGTACATATCCATTGAATTCTCCAGTAACTCTTGTTCGTCGAGGTGAGAAGAATAGATTATGTTTAGACGCGCGTAAACTTAACGAGGTCACCATCAAAGACGCGTATCCTCTGTCATTTATTGATGTTCTTCTAGGAAGACTTCAAGAAACTTATTTTATTTCGAGCATTGATCTCAATGATGCCTTCTGGCAGGTTCCTCTTGCGATTGATAGCCGTCGCAGTGCCGGGGAGACCACACTATCAGTTTACTGTCCTGCCGTTCGGGTTGTGTAATGCAGCTCAACGGTTAATGGATAAGATTACCTTATCCATTAACCGGCATTTTTAGGAATGGCCTCCTGTTTCAGACGTTTCATTCGCGACTATGCCGAAATTACAGCTCCAATAACCAATACTTTGAAGAAAGGGAAAAGTTTTTGTTTTGACGATCAGGCAATTGAGTCCTTCAATAAATTGAAAGTAGCTTTGACTACTAGTCCGGTTTTAAGTCATACAGTATTTGATAAAAGATTCTACGTACAGTGTGATGCTTCCAATCTTGGTATGGGTGCAGTTTTGTATCAGCTAGATGCTGAAGGCCTGGAACGTCCTATAGCTTTTCATTCCGCGCAGTTGTCGAAGGCTGAACGAAACTACAGCGTCACTGGACGCGAATGTTTAGCGATTATCAGTACCATTCAGAAATCCCTACCGTTCATAGAACTTATGCCTTTCACTGTAGTCACAGATCACAATGCACTGAAGTGGCCTGAAAGGACCTTAGCGGTCGCTTGGCTAGATGGAGTCTTAAGCTCCAGTCCTTTAATTTTGACATTCAGCACCGTAAGGGAACTCAAAATGTAGTCGCAGTGGATGAAATCAATATGTTCATCGAAAACGAAGAATATTCACAGTTAATTAGTATGGTAATCGAGAACCAAGACCGTTTGCCCGATTTAAAAGTTCGAGATTCTTTCGTGTACAAGAAGACACTTCCGTCCGATGGCACTCAGGTTCACGAGAACTTCATTTGGAAACTCTGGGTCGCAAGTAGTCTAAGCGAAACACTTATAGAAAATTCACATATGTCGTCAAACAAATATCACTGTGGTATAGGCAAGACGATCGCAGCACTTAGACAATATTTATATTGGCCCAAGATGGCAAAGCAAGTTAGAGATTTCATAAACGGTTGTATCGTTTGTAAAGAGACCAAAGCTCCGAATAAAGTTTTAAGAGGCAAAATGGGTAATGAAATTGTCACTGATAGGCCTTGGCAAAAGATTTTTATTGACTTTATTGGACCGTTTCCCCGATCGAGGTCAGGTAACACGTTTATTTTTATTGTTCTCGACCACTTAACCAAATTAGTACTTTTAAAACCACTCGCTAAAGCCAATAAAAATATTGTTAAATTCTTAGAATCCGAAGTTTTTCATAAATTTGGTGTGCTACAGTTAATCCATTCAGACAATGGTAAACAATTTATATCTTCTGAATTCTCTTCGTTTTTACAAAAATATGGTTGCATGCAAATCCGAAACGCGGTGTACTCTCCGCAAGGAAATGCGTCAGAGAGGGTCAATCGGACCATTATTGCAGCGATTAAATCGTACGTTTCGGAAGATCAAAAGGATTGGGATAAATACTTATCCACAATCGAATTTTCATTAAGGTCCACGTTGCACACTTCGACCGGTTTCACGCCATATTTTTCTCTTTTCGGAACACATATGATAACACACTCGAGTGAATACAAACTG